GGCGGGGGCTGTACGGCAGCAGCGCCCAAAGGGAGGGATCCTCCAACAGCGCGTGCAACGTCGGTGGCAGCGCGGCGGCTGGTCGGCCGCCGGCCGCCAGCCCCTGGAGGTCTTGCCTGTTTGCGGGGAATGGCGCGATTGGGAAAAAAGTGACCGGCGGCCGTGGGCGGCGGGTGACGGCGGGCGACGCGGGGGGTGTGCGGTGAGTGGCTGGTGTGGCGAGCGGCTTCCAGGCACACACACACGCACACGCACACGCACACACACACTCACACACATACACAAAAACACGCGTGCGTAAGAGGCGCGGGCACGGGCGCGGGCGCGGCGCCGCGAGCTGCGGGGGCAGCGCACCATGCCGCCACCGCGAGCGCCTGCGAGATAACCTGCGGCCGGGAGGCGCGGGCGCGCGGCGGGCACGGGACGCGTGGGCGAGGATGAGCGGTCGGCGGGCGCGCCGCGCCGCACCGCGCCGCACCCCCTCCTAGCCGGGCCGCGCGCCTCGGCCTGTGCGCGCGGCGGCCCGACGGTTGCGCCGGTGTGGTTGAGAAGCGCTCCCTTGCCCCCACTGCTCCTCCTCCTCCTCCTCCCCACCCAGACCGCCCCTCACCGCGTGCATTCTGAAAGGACCCGGGGCAATCTCAAAGTCCTCCTCCAAAGCCAGCACCAGCTGCCGCCACGCGAGCCGCAGGTCAAACAGCGGCAGCGCGGGGCCGCCGCCGCCGACGCGCGCGAGCGGCGGCAGGATGGCTTCGGGGAGGGCCGCCGCCGCGTGCTCCTCCAGGCATTCCTGCAGCCGCCGCCGCTTGTGGATTTCAGCAATCGGCGTCGCGCTGCCGCCGCCGCCCGCCGCCCACTGGTACTCGAGGCCCGGCGTGCGGGCGGCCGCGTCGGGGCACGCGGCGGCGCGCAGCACGGGCGCCGCCGCGGCCGCCGCGCCGCGGGGGTCGTGCAGGGGCGCCTCGTGGGGGCGCAGGAAGCGCACCCCGGGGTCGGCGGCGGCGCGCCACTGCCAGGGCAGGCGGCGCACAAAGGCCGAGCAGGTAGGGCGGCAGCCCGACAGCACGCCCTCGCACTCAGGCGCCGCCGCCGCGATGGCGCGCTGCGTCTTACTGCCATGCAACGCGACGCCGGGGCAGCGCGTTTCTTTGTGGAGCTCTTCGGCGGCGCATAGGATGGGCGTGACGAGAAGCATGGCTATGCGAAGCGCTGTTGTGCGATAGGGCGCGTGGCGCCGTCGGCTGGCGGGCCGCACCACCATGCTGACAGGTCGCTGGCGCTCTTATCTTGTGCTACAGGATTACTTGTTTCATTTTCCGGTTGTTGTGTCCCACGCGATGGTGGCAACTATGAAGTCTCAGATCTTCGCACTGCCACAGATCAGCTCCGACGTTCCTGCCTGCTTCCCTTCGGGAGTGGGACAGCTAGATGTGGAAAAGTTATGCATTCATCAAGTACAAAATTACTGTATAGCGCAACGCCAAACCCCTGAGGCGGAGCGAGCAGCTGGTGTGTTCCCGCGCGACTTGGTGAGTGGCCGATACACATGGATAGACGGGCAGCTCTGCATGCACACGCAGTGGAGAGATCATAACACCTGCGGGGAAATGGCCCGGGTGCCACAGCGTGCTTAGCAGTGGGTGTGCCAGGCGGCCACCAACGCCTCGTTTTGTCACCGCCCTCATTTTGGCCTCAACCTTACCACAAACAATGTTAGTGCCCCCTCGTGCCGTCTCCCTCTGCCATATCTGTCATTGATCAGCTGCCAGGCAGTATTATACACGTGCTAGATTTCCTTGACCACAACCGCACCAGGTCAACCCCTGTTTATGTTGCCTCCTGCCACCCTTAGAAACCGGTAACCGCCCGAGGCCAACAACCCAAGTCAGGCAGCAATGCTTGAGATCGCCCTTATGCTGTGGCACTGCGACTTACATACGCGCCGCTACAGGCCTGGGCGGGGGCGCTCGCGCTGGGGCACGGCGACGCCGGCCGCCCCGCCTACGCGCAGCAGCAAAAATAGGCAACATTGAGGGGGGTACAGCCGCTGCAGAAGCCCCCGCCGCCTTGAACGCGGTGCTCTTAGAAGTGTGAACAGCATGCAATGGGCGAGGCAGGAGGCTGGCGCTTGGGCAACAATTGAAAGCAACGCAAGAAGCACGAGCCCAGGCGGAAAACGCCGTGCAGCCACAACAGATGCAAAGCCCTCACATTCCCCCTTGGTCGCGCGCTGGGGCGTCCGCGACCGCGACCGGCAGCGCGATCGGCACCTCGGCCGTCGGCTTTGCAGGCGGGCCCGGGCCGAGCTGCTCTGCCTGCTGCGCCAGCGCCAGCGCCTGCGCCTGCGCCTGCTGCTGCTGCTGCTGCTGCTGCTCGCGCTGCTGGGCACCGTCCCCGGGGTCTGTGGGGTCTGCGGCAGCGCCCGCGTCGTCGGCTAGTGCCGCGGCCGCTGCTGGTGGCTCCTCCGGCAAGATGATGGGGATCGGGGGGGCTATAAACGCCTCGACCGGCAGCGGCTGCGCCGCCGCCGCCGCCGCCACGACGCCCGATGGCGCCGCAGCCGCCGCGAGTTGCGCAAGCTGCTGCTGCTGGTGCTGCTGATGTTGCTGCTGCTGCTGTGCCAGCACCTGGTGCTGTGGCAGCAGCAGCTGCTGCGACTGCTGCTGCTGCTGCTGCTGCTGCTGCTGCTGAATGCCCGCGAGCAGCGCGGCTGCAGTCACGCCTGCTGTGGGCAACAGCTGGCCCGCGCTCACGCCAGCGCCGGGCCTGAGCGCTCCGGCCTGGGGGCCGGGCCACCCTGCCGCCTGTGCGCGCTGTGCGCCCGCCGCCTGCTGCGCGAGCAGCAGCTGCGCCAGCGCCGTCCGCTGCAACATCTCGTGCGCCCCGCGCCCCGCAGCCCCGGCCGCCTGCGCGACAGCAGTCGCCGGCGCCGCGGCCGGCAAGGCGGCGGCGGCGGCGGCGGCGGCGGGCGCGGCG